TTTTTTTTTTTTTTTTTTTTTTTTTTGTACCAGGGATTGAACTCAGAACTCTGGATTTATTTTACTGAGTTATCTCTCCAGCTCCTTGTACCTACTCTTGAACAGGTCTCTCAAATAGAATAATCAAGTTATTTTGTTTCTAACAAAGTCAAGTAACGAGGAAAAGCCAAAATGAGAAAAGTACAGAATGAGGACAGTCAAGCCAACCCCCAAGATTCATGAAAATGTGATTCAAAACCACAAAGCAAGAATTACAAAATTGCCACCAGAGTAGAAAATCTAGTGTAATCCAAGCAATTAGTAAAAAAGGGAAATAAGAAAAATAAAATAAAAATAATACTTACTATCTCCCTACAGGCCAGAGGAGGATTTTCCGGCTAAGTTGTGGCTAAAGAGACATTAACTTGGGAAGGGTGTGAGCTGCAGGACAGTTGGGTGTGACATCCAAATTATCCTAGGTCCTGCAACGTGCACACTTTTTCAGTTAGTACTGACAGAACAGATAATTCATTCGGAAAGTAGATATCTACCAGAAAAGTTAGCCCTAAGATGTATTTATAACATGAACATGATGCTTCGTACTCCGCATGATTTTGTCCTGCTCTCAGGGGACATTTAGCAAGGCACAGAGACACTGGGGGTCACAGCTGGAGGCACGCTTATCATCTTGTGTGCAGAGGCCTGGGCTACTGCTGCCTGCCCACAGTATACAGAATAGCTTCACACCTAGGAGTGATCCGGCCAAGTTGTCTAGAAGGTTGAGGGTCAGAAGCTCTACCCAAGGATAACTCATGCAATTCGGAAGAATTATATTGTAATTCATCTAAGGAAAGTGCTTTTAAGAAAAAATTGTGAATAAAAGATCAAAGAGACCAAGCCTAATGGCCTCTGTCTTCTGCCCTGTGACTGACAGATACAGCTCTCTTCCACAGAAAGAAGCCTCTCATACCTAGTTCTAGAAGCAAGGCCTCAAAGCATCTAAGAAAATTATCTGAGAGGCATGATGAAGTGCCAGCTATATTTCATCACAGGAAAATGTCTCGGGGTGAATGTCCACCGAGAAGGCATTTAGGACTCTCATGAGGGCCAGCCCAGAGCAGAGAGGCCTTTGGGTGTTGTGCCGATTCCAGACACAGTGCTGTGTTTTGAGAGTCAGGATCCTGAACTGACAGCAGTCTGCTTACTAGAAAGTTCTCACAGAAGGCATAGAGAGACTCCAAATTCTTTCAAACACATAT